GAAACACAGGAGAACTCAGTACTTTCTGGCTGAATCAGTGACTTCCTCTCCTGCCTCTGTGGCCCCACCCACACCTGGCCTCCTTGCTCCTGGAGCAGGGAGGGAGGGATGCGTCCACTCTGAGGAATCTGGTACTTGCTCTTCCCTGAAACCCTTTCAAAAGCCACCTCCCCCGACACATCACCCGCATCCACACGGTCCACAGCTCCCCATCCCTTTAGGCTACTTCTTTTTCCTCACAGCACTTATCACCAAACAACATCTGACGTGTCTGCTTAGTGCCTGTCTCCACTCACCAGAAGGAAGCTCCATGCAAGCAGGGCGCCCCTGGTGTGGGCCATGCAGCAGGCACACTAGGACTGCAGAACGCCTGTTCACAGGCACACACCTCCACCAGACACAGCCCACGTGCTCCCTCTCTCACAACTAAAGAATGAAACTGCCCTGGGCTTCCAGTGGCCAGCTCACCTGCTGTTTGGGAGGGGCCTAGTAAAGGGATTGAGAAGGCTGGAGTCAGACTCTGGATTAGAATCCAGGTTTTAGGGGCCAGCACTGCGAGGCAGCAGGTAAAGCTGCTGTCTGCAGTGCTGGCATCCCAATGGGTGCCACTTCAAGTCCTGGCTGCTCCACTTCCGATCCAGCTCGCTCTCTACTATGGCCTGAGAAAGCAGCAGAAGATGGCCCAAGTCCTTGGGCCCCTGCACCCACATGAGAGACCCTGGCTCCTGGCTTTGGATCAGCATAGCTCCAGCCACTGTGACCATCTGGGGAGTGAACTAGTGGATAGAAGACACCTCTCTCTCTCTCTTTCTACCTCTGTCTCTCTGTAACTCTGCCATTCAAATAAATAAATAAATAAATCTTTAAAAAGGGGGGGGGGCTGGTGCTGTGGCACAGTGGGTTAACGCCCTGGCCTGAAGCGCAGGCATCCCATATGGGCGCAGGTTCAAGACCCAGCTGCTCCACTTCCTGTCCAGCTCTCTGCTAAGGCCCGGGAAAGCAGTAGAAGATGGCTCAACTTCTTGGGACCCTGTACCCACGTGGGAGACCCGGAAAAAGCTCCTGGCTCCAGGCTTCAGATCAGCACAGCTCTGGCCGTTGCGGCCATCTGGGGAGTGAACCATCGGATAGAAGACCTCTCTCTCTCTCTCTGCCTCTCTGTGTAACTCTGACTTTCAAATAAATAAATCTTTAAAAAAAAAAAAAAAGAAAGAAAGAAAGAAAGAATCCATGTTCTATCACCTACCAGTCATGTGCCTCTGGGCAAGTTACTTAGTTTCTATTAGCCTTCCTCTTCTAATCTGAAAAATGGGCTAACAGATACCAATCTTACTAGGCACACAGTAAGAGCTCAGTAAGTGTCAGATAATCCCATCATCATCATTGTGTGTCTCTTGCCTGAAATAAACCAAGAGTGACCGGGCTTTTTGAGGAAGGCAAACCCCAGTCATGAAGTGAGTGGCGGCAGTCATGCACCCTGCTGGGGTAGGGAGCCCTGGCTAGGCCTGTTCCGAGGACGGAAAGGCAGAGGTGAGCACCGCAGAGAAGGCTCCATGATGACTCATCTCGGCAGTCAAAACAAACTCACCTGTTTCCTGCAGAATCTGGAATTCCTCACTAAACGCAGCCCTTCTTCCCCCCAGCCAGCAACTGAGGCGAGCCCCCCCACCCTTCACACTCAGGTCAGCGAGTCTGCATGTTCTGCCTCCTCGCTCCCGCCATGCCCGCTGCCGAAGCCTCCCTGGGCTGGAGGCCCTGCCGCACTCCTGGAGAGCAGCAACAGCTCCCGGCATCGTCCCCCATCCTCAGCCATTCGCTTCCAGTCACCTCTCTGAGCCCCTAGCATCCCTCAAAGGCATTTCCGAGTCCTCCGGACAAAGTTCAAACCCCTAAGAACTGGTGCCAGCCACTCCCCCGGGGAGGTCCTGGGCTCAGCGGCCCCACCCCCAGCCTTTCCTGCACGCGCAGTCCCAGACCCAGCTGCCTGCTACTCAGCATCAGGGACCACTTTTTCCTGAAAGGCTGCGCTAAGACAGTGCCCACCAGGCGTCCCTCCTTGTCTGTCTGTCTGTCTCCCTCCCCACCTCCCTCCCTTCTCTCTTTCTGAGGCAGAGTTCCCATCTACTGTTTCCTCCCCAAATGCCTGCAATCCAGGTCCCCCACACGGGTGCTAGGAACCCGAATACTTGGGCCATCAATTTTTTTCTGAAATCCACTCATAGTCTTATCATTAATTTACATTTTCATGAACTTTTTGAAGCTCTCCTGTACACAATAATTTTCAAAATTATTTTTGCACCAAGATTAACTTCTTTTAATTCCACTTCCCATGAACTCTAGGAGGTACTTTTGAATTTATATATAAGCTGCGGGGATTTATGGTTAGTTGTTGTGTAGTAAAATGTCATAAAAGGAGCTACTGAGCCAGGAGCCCTGAGTTTCAGTTCCAACACTGTGACTTCCAGGCCGCATCACCATGGACAAGGTATGTAACCTAAATCTGTCTCCTCACCTGTAAGATAAAGGAACTAGGCCCTGCCTGACGTCCTGTTCCATCAGATGAGAGCACACTGTGAAGTGCCGAGCAAAGGGCAGCCGTCCAGGGCTGTTAGTCAGCGTCAATCCTCTCGCACTTCCAAAACACTGCTGAAAAGTCCAAGGTCACACTTTGGGCATTTGGGAAGAAACACTTAACACTCCTCTCAAAGCCTGACCACACCTTGAATTCCAGCCAGCCATGCTGCAGATGAACTAGGTCACAGAGAAGACTTAGCAAAAAAAGTCATCTCTAGGCAATCCCATCAGCACTGCTGAAACACAGTTTAGAAGTCTGCCTCACCCCTCCCCCAAGTTATCCCAGTAAAAACGAAACACCTGAGGAGGCTTCAGATTGACTATGACGTAAACGATGCTTAGGAACGAGGGTGCCTGATGAGAATGACCTCAGTAATGTACTACCCGTAAATGACAGACAGCACTTAGGAAGCACCTGTGAAGAAAAGTGCAAGAGTTCAAGGTAATCTATGAGAGGGACCAAAAGGTGCTCACACTGTAAAATCTTCTAAGTCTGGTTATACTGTTCTTTATTTTCACATTGTTAAAATAGGAAACTCCACCTTATCAAATATCCTAATTTAGGTTGAAAGAACACAGTCTTGCCTGCTTTAATCCTGAAATGTTATGCTTGAGTGTTCAGTAATATAAATGCATTATTTTCTAATCCATTCAAAGCCACCTACCATATCTGTGACACAAGATTCTAGCAAAAGACTAACAACATAAAGGCAAAAGCTTTGGATGTGTCGCCACTGAGAACTACTCACCTAACAAGAACTTAAAAAAAATTAGACAGTTTCCCCAAAAAACTACTCTTTCTAGGTTTTATTGAGAGTAAAATATAACTGTCCCTTTGTGCATTCAGGGCAAGTAATTTGCTGAAGATAATTTCATATTTTCCTATATATATTCCTATATATAGTGAGTTTAATTTCTCACATTTATTTAAAATTTTTGCTGACCCTGAAAAAAGTCTCTCCTAGTTCTCCCGTAAAGGTTACATGTATTCCCTGTAAGGTCACAAAAGCGTTACACCTTCTGAGAGCTCTGGCGAAATGAAGAGACACATTGCAGATCACAGAGTAACTTCATTCAGTCTGTGCACTTTCTTGCTTCGAAAACAACGTCTTGGTGAAAACTCAAGCATGTGGAAGCCTCACGACCAGGGACTAGCGAGGTCATCAACAGAAACGTCTGCTAGTGACAGGTCTACTAAACACATTCTTTGCCTGAAGAGAAGTCACTCGTCAGAATTCTTACTGAAGGGATAAAGGAGACAGGAGAGATACTTTTGATAGTTCCCACCTGAAAGAAAGAAACTGTCTCCCAATTTAAGATTAAGTTCCTGATGTATTTGGGGAAAACACCGTCAGTTACACAGCACAGGCAAACCTGACTTCACACCCAAGTTCGCCAGTATCAAAACTGTGTCCTGTCCTGCCTGACCCTTAACCCACGTCTTGCAAGCACCACGCCTGGAGAATTTCAGCAACTGGAGCAAACACAGTGACGGTGCTGGAGCTAAAACTGGAGAGGGAAGTCGTCTAGAGCGACCAGCCTGATACATGACTGCGAAGTTTAGGAGCCAGCGGAAGAAATGACCAGGTAGGGCCAGCAGGGCCCAGAACGGGAAGCTCCCAGTTTGGAAGAAGGCAGGAAAAAGTCCGTAGAAGTAAAGAGACTCCTTGTACCCCAACTGCCACTTGTTCTTCCTTGTTTTCTTTCTTTCTTTCTTTTTTAAGAATCTTACTAAGCAAACTGTAAATCATGAAGGGAATCGGTACAGCGTCTCTCCGAAATGAAAACAGGACAGAGTTTACGAAGTTACTTAGTTCTGGTTCAGGCTCTGGTACAGCCAAACACAATTCTGAGAGGAACAAGAACCAGGAAAAGGAGGACTGGAAGACAAGGCTGCCAGAAGTCGTCACGGCTCCGCTAAATGACTAGAATTCAGCGAGAATCCTCGCACATGTTGACAAGACACATATGTTGTTAAACATCAAAGAAATCTGTCTTGCAACCACCCCCAAACACAAAGGCATCTGATCAACTTACACGACGTCAGGGCCACATGTCTGGGCTTTCAAACACTCCATACCCACCGTACGTTCCGATTCCATCCGAAACTAGCCCTTCGATCCCAGAAGGCACACACGCGCCATGTAACTCGACGTCCATCCTGCAGAAAAGCACGACCACCCCACGACGCTCCCCTCGTGCTCAGACCCCAGAACGCTCCAAAAGCAGCAATCGCAGTTCCGAAGAAAGAAAAAGAAGGCAGCAGGGTAACACCGGAGACCCTCGCAGGCAGTCATTTTGTTCCGGGAAAATGTCATGTCCATTCCGTCCCCGAGCCCAACAGCCGGGCACCCCCGGCGCAAGCCCACCCGGGTCGACAGCAGCAGAGCTGCCAAGGAATTCAAGGTGTCCCCGCGCCCGCTCACCTCATCAGCGCTCAGCTCCTCCATCGCCTTCCTCTTAATGGTGAAAGGCGTTCGCGAGAGGTCCTTCTGTTCTCGAGACCGGGCGGGAGCGAGGAGTGTGGAAGGTTTCTACCAGAGGCCGTCCGGTCCCCCGAGTGGGGGAGGTTTCAGAATTGCATAGTCAGAGGTTAAAAAATAAGAACACGAGGCACTGAGCTGCCTGGGCTGAGGTCGCTCCGCCCGCCCGAGGCTCGTCCGGCCGCCGCCGACTACCCACTGCCTCCCAGGCTGCCCGGGCGAGGCGGCGCGGTCCCCGGCTCGGCTCGCGCCACCAGCGTGCTGTGTCTCGGTGGCGGCGGCGCGGCAGCTGCGTTTCCTCCAGCAGAGCCGGCTCTCCTTGCCACCCCTGGCCCCTGGCGGGAACTGCTGGACTGCAGAGTGGGTGCCCCGAGGTAAGACGACCCCACAGCCGCCCTGGCAGAGCCCAGTACTGTGTAGGAAAGCCCCTCCCCTCCCAAAGCAGGCCGGACACGCCCCGCCGCCACGCCAGAGCCTGGGCAGGGGGGAGGGGGAGGATGGGATTCGAGATGCTCACGCTGGAAGAGTAAATCTTCCTACCCCTCCACCCCTACTCTTACCCCCTCGCCCCACCAAGTATTATTCATCAAAACAACAGGGCGGCCATCTTTGAAAGGGATCACGTGACCCCGCCAGAGAGGCGGGGCTTCTGGCCCTTGGACGCGGCAGCCAATAGGCCGCGGGCGTCGCGCCGCCGATTTCCTCTCGCCTGCGTCTTCTGCCCGCCCCCTCCTACCCCCTCCCCGGCCGCAGCGCCGGGCGGGGGGAGGGGCGAAGGAGGCTGCGGGCGGGCAGGGGGCGGGGCGGGCGTTGCCACGGCAACGGCGCGGGGGCGGTGGGCGCGGCGGGCCGGCCGGCCGGGCCCAGGTAGGCTGGCGGCGGCGGAGGGCGGGCCGGCCACGGGAGGCTGGGCCTGGAGGGGGCGCTCGCCCGCGGCCCCAGTGGCCGTGGTGCCCTCGTCCCTCCGCGGTCGCAGGGACCTGGGAGCCGCCGAGACCCGGAGAAGGCGGCGAGCCGTGGCTCCCGCGCGGGGGGCGCGCTCTGCCATGTTGGCGGCTCCCTCAGGAGAAAGCGCGGCGCCGGGCGGGCGGGCGTCGGGGAGCGTGTGCGACTTGCGCCTGAAGGAACAGTCCCTGCCCTTTGATTGCGTTGGTAAAATCTGAACCCGCGAGGGGAAGAGCGACGCGGAGGAGTTAGAAAGGCGCCCTCGTGGGAACGCGCCGCTTCTAGAACCTGCGAGGAGAGTCCGGCACGCGCCGGGACCGCGGGCGTCGCCCCGGGCCGCCGTGCTCCTGGACGCGGGGCTGAGCGGGAAGGCGCGGGGGGACCTCGTGAGAGAGGCCGAAGCGCCAGTGGCCGCGGGGCCCTGCTGTCCGGGAAGGGGTTCTGGAAGCCGGAGCCCGGACCCGGGGACGCGGGCGTTAAAGCCAGCGCTGCGTTCTCTTAGCGCCAAGTGACAGTCGGCTTACGAACCCAGCGCGTATTGTCGGTCCAGCCCTTACTAAATGGGGCTTTTATAAATAATGCTGCTGTAGGTGTTCCTGTACAAGTCTTCGTGCGGACTCGCGCTTTTATTCCTCTTGAATATATACATACCTAGGGGAGAAATTGCTGGGTTGTGTGCGCAAGCTTTTCAGGACCCGCTAAACTGTTTTTGGAAAGCGCCTGTACTACTTTATGTTCCCACCAGCAAGGGATGACGGCCCCGCCTCTTCCAACAAATCTTACTGTCCTTCGCATTACGGCCACCCGCGATGCGATAGCGGTCTGTCTGTCGCGCTGTTTTTCATTTCACTAAGGGATATTGAGGTTGAGCATGTTTTCACTGCTTTTCTTCCTGGATAAACATCTGTTAATCGTTCCTTCATTTTGATTGGTTTATTTGTCTTATTCCATCATCAGCATTCTTTACTGAATGCCAGCCCCTTATCAGGTACCATGATTTGCAAATGTTTTCTCCCAATCTGTGAATTGTCTTTTTTTTTTTTTTTTTTGACAGGCAGAGTCAGAGAGACAGAGAGAAAGGTCTTCCTTTTTCCGTTGGTTCACCCCCCAAATGGCTGCTACGGCGCTGCGCCAATCCAAAGCCAGGAGCCAGATGCCTCCTCCTGGTCTCCCATGCAGGTGCAGGGCCCAAGCACTTGGGCCATCCTCCGCTGCCTTCCGGGGCCACAGCAGAGAGCTGGACTGGAAGAGGAGCAACCAGAACAGAATCCGGCGCCCCAACCGGGACTAGAACCTGGGGTGCCGCCGCCGCAGACAGAGGATTAGCCTAGTGAGCCCTGGTGCCGGCCTGTGAATTATCTTTTCACTTTCTTTTTATTTATTTTTGGTTGAAAGGGAGAGAGACAAAGAAAGAGATCTTGCACCTGCTAAGTGCACTCCCCAAATGTCTGTAATACCCAGGGCTGTGCCAGGGGGAAGCCAGGAGCCAAGAGCTCATTGCAGGTCTCCCACGTAGGTGGGCAAGGACCTGGCTACTTGAGCTGTCACCGCTGCCTCCCAGCAGAAGAGCTGGGACTGAAATACCAGCTGCTGGTTCCCAGAAGCAATTTAACCACGTGCTGAATGCCTGCCTCCTTCTCACCTTCTTGTTAGTGTCACTCACTGAACAAAACATTTTCATTTGACTTAGTCCAATTTACCTGGTTTTTTTTGTCACATGCTTTTGGTGTAATATGTTTACAAGACATAATCATATTTTAAAGATTTTATTTGTTTAAGAAGCAAAGTTAGAGAGAGAGAGGGAGAGACAGAAAGGTCTTCCATCTGCTGGTTCATTCCCCAAATGGCAACAAGGCTGGAGCTGAGCTGATTCGAAGCCAGGAGCCAAGAGCTTCTTCCAGGTCTCCCACGTGGGTGCAGGGGCCCAAGGACTTGGGCCATCTTCTACTGCTTTCCCAGGCCATAGCAGAGAGCTGGATCGGAAGTGGAGCAGTGAGGACTAGAACCAGCACCCATATGAGGTGGATGAGAAACCTCTCTCTCTTGGTCTCTGCAACTATGCCTTTCAAATAAATAAATCTTTAAAAAAATTTTTTTTGCTTTCCCTGAATTGTTTTCCTGTGACACAAATATCTCTGTCTACAAATATGTAATATCTAGCACATAGTAGGTACACACAAAAATATACAAGATTGGGACCTTTGTTTGGCTTAGCAGTTAAGAGGCCGACACCGCGGATCACATCAGGGTATCTTGCTTCCTTCCCTGGCTGTACTGATTCCAGCCTCCTGCTAATGTTGACCCTGGGAGGCAGTGGTGATGGCTCAAATCGTCAGGTGCCTGCTGCTGTCTTCAGTCTGGCCTGGGGACATTTGGGAAATGAACTGGTATTGAGAGATCTCTGTTTCTCTGCTCTGCCTTCAAAATAAAATACATAATTTAAAAGAAAAGATAAACCAGCATATTGCTCACCTCTTCCAAATCCCTCAGTGACCCTCCATTGTACTTTTTTTTTTTTTTTTTTAACAGGCAGAGTGGACAGTGAGAGAGACAGAGAGAAAGGTCTTCCTTTTGCCGTTGGTTCACCCTCCAATGGCCGCCGCGGCCGGTGCACTGCGCTGATCCGATGGCAGGAGCCAGGTACTTATCCTGGTCTCCCATGGGGTGCAGGGCCCAAGCACTTGGGCCATCCTCCACTGCACTCCCTGGCCACAGCAGAGAGCTGGCCTGAAAGAGGGGCAACCGGGACAGAATCCGGCGCCCCGACCGGGACTAGAACCCGGCGTGCCGGCGCCGCAAGGCAGAGGATTAGCCTAGTGAGCTGCGGCGCCGGCCCCTCCATTGTACTTTGACTTAAACCAGGCTGTGTCTCATGACCCGTGTGACCCCATGTGATTTGGTCTCCGCTGCTGCTTTTCCCTCTTATACCACCCTTCCTTCCCCTGTGCCTCAACCCCACCAGATTTCCATCTTGAATAAGACAAACCTTTTCCTTTCTCAAGGCCTAGGCAGACACACCGAGTGGTGTTTCCTTTGCCGGAACAACTCTTCCCCTGGCTTTTCGCATGGCTAAGGCCCTCTTATTTTTCAAGTCTTAGCTCATCCCCTCATTCATCCATTCATTAATCTTTCAAATATTTATATACTTAAAATATATAAGTATTTGCATTGTAAGTCCTATTCTAGGAGCCTTTTTATTTGGGTCCTTCATGAAGCAGACAGTAAAATAGAATGAGACATGAGAGAGTTTTATTTGGGGAAAATGCAGGTGAGGAGTTAAGGTGGAGAGAGGAGGTGGGGAGAGCCTTCCGACGTGATGGATGCAGCCCTGCTGTCAGGGAAGGGACAGGGCACTGAGCCTCCCCCTGCAGAGCAGGGGTCTACGAAGGTTTCCAGCCAGGCTGACGGTGTCCTTAGCCAAAGTTGCCCATGAGAAAAGTCCCACTGTTGTAGGATGGTCCCTGCCTAGACTGAGGCCAGTTCTTCTCTCTGTGGCAAGAAGGAAATCAAGGAGGTGACATAGATGAAAGTTTGCAAAAAAGCAAGACGTACTTCCATGCACAGCCAAAGTACATACTCAGGAGGGAGTGTGGACCCTGAACAAGGCTCAGAGCTGTGCTCTAAATGAGCTGGCAGCATGGGGAGCCCATGTCTGGAGTGGGGCATAATTGAATATTCAAAGAGGCTGGAGTTTGGAGTGGGGATTGGATGCCACGCATTTCCTTGCCCTTTTCCAGAAATCTCAGAAATGTCATGGCATGAGTTACAGGATGGGAGTGGGAGTGTCAGCATGGTAATTTTATTGTGATGACGTTATATTGACCTGAAGGTCATCTCAGGGACACAGCATGCAGCCATATTGGATATTTGCAGCTGACACTGGTTCCAAGTTGCAACATTGGGGAACTTGTGGTCTTCTGCTACAAACAATAGGAGGGGAGTTTGGGCGGTGCAAGGTAGGGCCAGGGATGGGCACTGCGCAGAAAGGGAGGGTTAAGTGCCCATGTGGCACAGCAGGTTAAACTGCTGCCTGCAATGCCAGCAATGGCATTTTGAGTCCTGGCTATTTCAGCCCCCCACTAATGTGCCTGGAAAGGCAGCAGCAGAAGACCCAAGCATTTGGACCCCTGCCATCTACATGAGAACTCAGATGGAGTTCCTGGCTCCTGGCTTCAGCCTGGTGCAGCCCCAGCCATTGGAGCCAATTGGGGAGTGAACCAGCACTTGGAAGAGCTCACACTCTCTCCCTCCCTCGTTCTCTCTGTCACTTTACCTGTCAAATAAATACATCTTAGAAAGAAAAGAAAAAAAAAAAATCCCACACATCTCCACATGCAAGGATGGCAGAGTCCCAGCTCCTCTGCTTCCAGTCTAACTCCTGCTAATATTAACAGCTGGGAAGATAGTCGAAGATGGCCTGAGTATTTGGACCCTTGCCTCCCATGTGGGAGACCAGGATGGAGTTCCTGACTCCTGGCTTCAGCCTGGCTCAGCCCTTGTTGTTGAGGGCATTTGAGAAGTGAACCAACAGATGGAAGATTTTTCTCTCTCTCTGTCGCTCTGCCTTTCAAAATACAAAAATAAATAAATAATTTATTATTTTTAAAGGGCAGTTTGGGGGCCGGTGCCGTGGCTCAATAGGCTAATCCTCCGCCTGCGGCGCCGGCACACCAGGTTCTAGTCCCGGTCGGGGCACCGGATTCTGTCCCAGTTGCTCCTCTTCCAGGCCAGCTCTCTGCTATGGCCAGGGAGTGCAGTGGAGGATGGCCCAAGTGCTTGGGCCCTGCACCCCACGGGAGACCAGGAGGAAGCACCTGGCTCCTGGCTTCAGATCAGCACAGCGTGCCTGCCGCAGCTCATCGGCCGTAGCGACCATTTGGGGGGTGAACCAACGGAAAAAGGAAGATCTTTCTCTGTCTCTGTTCTCTCTCTCTCTCTCTCTCTCTCTCTCACTGTCTAACTCTGCCTGTCCAAAAAAAAAAAATGTACAGGGAGGGAGGTTGATTTGAGCAGCACAGGCTAGACTGATGTGTGGGTGAGCCAGGCTGCTGTGCTACCTGTGCCAGGGTTGGCAAATGTTAGCTCCTCTCTGCTATAGCTACCTCCCTGCTTACAGCACCACCCCTTATAGAAATGATTCGGAACTAACACACCACACCCATGGGAGCAGCCATGGGAAATGTGGTTTTCTCACAAACACTGTGGTGGAGCCAGAGGGGCAGCAGGTGGAGACGTCGGCCAGCCATGCACCCTCAACAGGAAGTGGGAGTGGCATTCCATGCTGCCAAGCACGTCGGAAGGCAGCACTTACTTCCTATCCCTTGTGTTTCCATGGAGGAGGGAGAATTGCGTTGCCTTCCAGATTCACTCTGCCATCTTCGTCACTCATCCCCAGTGGGGTGGAATGAATTTTCTGACCAAAATTTTGAAGTGCGCTGAACTCAGTACCATCTCTAGCACCTGATACCCTGGCACCCCGTTACCCCGGGCTTACCTGCCTTCAGGGAATGGAAATTCGGGATGACTGTCTGCTGAAACACGATAGCAAGGCAAGCCCTGTCCCAGCACAGGGTCCCCATGATGGGCTTTAGTGGATTTATTACAAGAGGAAGAAGGACCCAAGCCAGCATGCTTGCTATGTCTTGCCATGTGATACCCTCTACCTCTTGCATTGCAGCTAAAGGGCTCCCATCAGATACTAAGCAGATACCAGCTCCATGCTCTTTTCAGCCACCAGAAACTGAGAGTTAACTAAAATCCTGTTCTTGGGCCGGCGCCGCGGCTCACTAGGCTAATCCTCTGCCTAGCGGCGCCGGCACACCGGGTTCTAGTCCCGGTCGGGGCACCGGATTCTGTCCCGGTTGCCCCTCTTCCAGGCCAGCCCTCTGCCGTGGCCAGGGAGTGCAGTAGAGGATGGCCCAGGTGCTTGGGCCCTGCACCCCATGGGAGACCAGGAAAAGCACCTGGCTCCTGGCTCCTGCCATCGGATCAGCGCGGTGCGCCGGCCGCAGCGCGCCGGCCGCGGCGGCCATTGGAGGGTGAACCAACGGCAAAAAGGAAGACCTTTCTCTCTGTCTCTCTCTTTCACTGTCCACTCTGCCTGTCAAAAAAAAAAAAAAAATCCTGTTCTTTATAAATGACAGTCTCGGGTATTTTGTTGTAGCAACAGGAAATGGACTGAACCAGTGCTGTCAGTTAAAATTAATCCAGGAATGGCCGGCGCCATGGCTCACTAGGCTAATCCTCCGCCTTGCGGTGCCGGCACACCAGGTTCTAGTCCCAGTCGGGGCGCCGGCGTCTGTCCCAGTTGCCCCTCTTCCAGGCCAGCTCTCTGCTGTGCTTGGGCCCTGCACCCCATGGGAGACCAGGAGAAGTACCTGGCTCCTGCCATCGGATCAGCGTGGTGCGCCGGCCGCAGCACGCTAGCCGTGGAGGCCATTGGAGGGTGAACCAACGGCAAAGGAAGACCTTTCTCTCTGTCTCTCTCTCTCTCACTGTCCACTCTGCCTGTCAAAAATAAATAAATAAATAAATAAATAAAAAGAAAAAAGAAAAGAAAACAATTAATCCAGGAAGGGAAACAGCACTGCAAACGGATGGTCCCATTTCAGTTAGGGAGGTCACTGAGCCAGTGACCTTTGGGGAAAGCCCTGCCAGGAGTGAAGAAGTGAGCCAGCTGGGTATCAGCCAGACAGCATGAGAAGCAGAGCAGGTGAAAAAGGCGAAGACCCTGAGCTGCGAGCAGGCAGGGCAGGTGGCCACGTAGGCTGGAGCAGGCTCTGCATTAGGGAATGGCGTGGACAACTCCGTGGCTCTTTAGTGTAAGATGGGAGCTGTTGGAGAGTTTTGAACAGGGCAGGGACAATGATCTCTTTGATGTTAGAAAAGGACCTCTTTTTGACTGTTGAAAATAGATCATAGGGGGGCTGGCGCTGCGGGGATCACTAGGCTAATCCTCCACCTAGCGGCGCCAGCACACCGGGTTCTAGTCCCGGTCGGGGTGCCGGATTCTGTCCCGGTAGCCCCTCTTCCAGGCCAGCTCTCTGCTGTGGCCCGGGAGTGCAGTGGAGGATGGCCCAAGTGCTTGGGCCC